ACCAGTGGCACAGCCTCAAGACTCACAGCAACACATCACCACAGTAGGACAAACCGACACACAAGTTTGTCTCCGTTAGCTATTGGATCCCTCCAACCACCCTTACCTGGATCCCTGCAGCTTACTCCTTAATCTATTCTGGTCCCTTTTGCCTTTTCTGTCCTCTCCCTGCCTTCCCACCTCGCTGCTTATGGGGCGTGGCCTGGGTTCCCTCTCCTCACCTGGATCCCTGTGGCTGACTTCTTGATCTGTTCTGGTTTACAGACCTAGCTAGGGACAAACTTAGCTCTGTCAGATTCTAGAGTTTTGCTCTTAAACATCATGTTTGATAGTTACTGTACTATAGAAGCAAAATAGAAGAGTTTAAATTTTATGTAAAAATAAATTGGAGCTCCCGAGAGTTCAACTTATAGAACCTATGGGTTTTCCTGACAGTGGTCTTCAGAAGGGTGTGGGATTGTAACAGTTATTCTACTAAGTACTCTGGAACTCAGCTAATTATAAAGTGATCAGGGACTAAACTAAAGCAGAATAAATTAGGGTGGAAAGAAGTAAATGGTTATGAGAAATATCTCAAACAATATTTAATAGAATTTGATGTCATCTTACACTGTAGTGCACACATTGTATATACACTACATTATACCTTCACTCCTCTGTCAGTTAGCCATACTGTGGTGGCTCAAGTGATGCTGGGATGCTGGAATCTGTGCCACTGGTATTTCAAAGACCAGCAGGCTCACCCATGGCAGACAGGCTTCAGGAGCTTATAGACTGAAATAGACCAGGAAGAAAGGTCCTATGATCTACTTCTGAAAATCAGCCAATGAAAACGCTATGGATCACAACAGAATACTGTCTTATTTATACAGCACTGGAAGATGAGTCCTGTGGGTTGGAAGGTACTCAAAATACACAATGGATTCAAACATACCAAGGTTGTGGAGATGGTGCAGAGCCAGGTAACAATTTCATTCTGTTGTACATGGAGTCACCAGGAGTCAGACCTAACTCAATGACAACTAATAACAACATCACCATACTTAAACATGAATAAAATGGTTACATTACAGATTATCTCCAAGTTAGAAAAACTCAGTGATTTTTAGCAGCTCTAGTGGCATAGTGCCTAAGGCATTGAATACTAACCAGAAGGCTGGCAGTTCAAACCCACTAGCCACTCCTTGGAAGGTTGGGCAATATACTTCCATAGTGATACCACCTCGGAAACCCAAGAAGGAGTCACTATGAGTCGAATCTACTTGACAGCAGTGAGTTTGATTTTTTGAGTTTGAGTAATTTTTAAAATGTCAAGGACACTAACATAAGCAGAGTACATGCAAGAAGCTGATGGATTCAGTTTTGACAATGTTAACAGTGGTGACCCTCAGTGGCACAAATGTTAAGTGCTCCATCATTAACAAAAATGTCAGCTGTCTGAACCCATGCAGAGAAGCCTCAGAAGGCTTGGCAATCGGCTTCCAAAAAGTCACAGCTTTGAAAACCCTATGGAGAAGTTCTACTCTACCCATGTGGGGTTACCATGTGTGTTAGATTGGGTTCTCTAGAGAAACACAAAAACCAGCAAAGCATATACATATATATTTAGAGAGAGAGAGAGAGAGAGAGAAATTTATCTTAGAAAAATGGCTCACAAACTTATAGAAGCTGGCAAGTCCAAAGTCCCTGGAGGAAACTTCGGGCTGGCGGCAGCCTTAGCTTCTGCAAGTGCAGGGGGCCAAGAAATTCAGGGCTTCTCCCTCATGGAAGTTTGTAGTCCACACACCAGGGTTCCAATCCCTCAAAGAATGTCTCTCTTCCCAGGATGCCCCTGGATATCTTGGAAGCAGGCCACACCCCTAGGGAA